ATGGTAAAGAATCTGCCTGCAATGCAGGAGATCTGGCTTCTATTCCTGAGTTGGGAAGAGCCCTTGGAGAAGGGAATGGCTACCCACTCCAGGAGAATTCCACGGACAGAGGAGCCTAGTGGGCTATAGTCTGTGGGATTGCAAAGAGTCGGATGTGACTGAGGACTAGGAAATAAAGAGCTTCTTGATGAGGATGAAAGAGTTGGCCTAAAACTCAACATTAAAAAAAAACAAAGATCATGGCATCCAGTCCCATCACTTCATGGCAAATGAAGTGACAGGTTTTATTTTCTCAGGCTCCCAAATCACTGCAGATGGTGACAGCAACCACGAAATTAAAAGATGCTTGCTCCTAGGAAGAAAAGCTACAACAAACCTAAATAGTGTATTAAAAATCAGAGACATCTCTTTGCTAACAAAGGTCTGTATAGTCAAAGTTATGGTCTTTCCAGTAGTCATGTACAGATGTGAGAGCTGAACCATAAAGAAGGCTGAGCACCAAAGAATTGATTCTTTTGAGCAGTGGTGCTGGAGAAGACTCTAGAGAGTCCCTTGGACAGCAAGGAGATCAAACCAGTCAATCCTAAAGGAAATCAACCCTCAATATACATTGGGGAACTGATGCTGAAGCTCCAACACTTTGGCCTCCTAATGCAAAGACCTGATTCATTGGAAAAGACCCTGATGCTGGGAAAGATTGAAGTTAGGAGGACAAGGGAGTGACAGAGGATGAGATGGTTGGATGGCATCACCATTTCAATGGACATGAGTTTGATCAAACTCTGGGAGATAGTGAAGAACAGGGAAGCCTGGCGTGCTGCAGCCCATGGCGGGGCGAAGAGTCAGACACAACTGAGTGACTGAAAAACAACCGAGTCTTAACAGCACAGATCTCAGAGTGATTACATTATGAATCTGCACTGTGAATTTCCCTTTGCCATACATTCAACAACTCATGTTTAAGCCTCTACTATGTGTCAGGCACTGTTCTGAAATCAGAGATCATTAAAGCCTTCCCATCAGAACTGGACATGGAACAACAGACTGGTTCCAAATAGAAAAAGGAGTATGTCAAGGCTGTATATTTTCACCCTGCTTATTTAACTTATATGCAGAGTACATCATGAGAAATGCTGGGCTGGAGGAAGCACAAGCTGGAATCAAGATTGCCGGGAGAAATATCAGTAACCTCAGATAGGCAGATGACATGACCCTTGTGGCAGAAAGTGAAGAAGAACTAAAGAGCCTCTTGATGAAAGTGAAAGAGGAGAGTGAAAAAGTTGGCTTAAAGCTCAACATTCAGAAAACTAAGATCACAGCATCCGGTCCGATCACTTCATGGCAAATAGATGGGGAAACAGTGGAAACAGGGGCTGACTTTACTTTTCTGGGCTCCAAAATCACTGCAGATGGTGATTGCAGCCATGAAATTAAAAGACGCTTACTCCTTGGAAGGAAAGTTATGACCAACCTAGACAGCCTAGACAGATCCTGGAATGTGAAGTCAAGTGGGCTTTAGGAAGCATCACTACGAACAAAGCTAGTGAAGGTGATGGAATACCAGTTGAGCTATTTAAAATCCTGAAAGATGACTCTGTGAAAGTGCTGCACGCAATATGCCAGCAAATTTGGAAAACTGAGCAGTGGCCACAGGACTGGAAAAGGTCAGTTTTCATTCCAATCCCAAAGAAAGGCGATGCCAAACAATGCTCAAATGCACAATTGCACTCATCTCACACGCCAGTAAAGTAATGCTTAAAATTCTCCAAGCCAGGCTTCAGCAATACATGAACTATGAACTTCCAGATGTTCAAGCTGGTTTTAGAAAAGGCAGAGGAACCAGAGATCAAATTGCCAACATCTGCTGGATCATCGAAAAAGCAAGAGAGTTTCAGAAAAACATCTATTTCTGCTCTATTGACTATGCCAAAGCCTTTGACTGTGTGGATCACAATAAACTGTGGAAAATTCTGAAAGAGATGGGCATACCAGACCACCTGACCTGCCTCTTGAGAAACCTGTATGCAGGTCAGGAAGCAACAGTTAGAACTGGACATGGAACAACAGACTGGTTCCAAATAGGAAAAGGAGTATGTCAAGGCTGTATATTGTCACTCTGCTTATCTAACTTCTATGCAGAATACATCATGAGAAACGCTGGGCTGGAAGAAGCACAAGCTGGAATCAAGATTGCCAGGAGAAATATCAATAATCTCAGATATGCAGATGACATCACCCTTATGGCAGAAAGTGAAGAACTAGAGAGCCTCTTGATGAAAGTGAAAGAGGAGAGTGAAAAAGTTGGCTTAAAGCTCAACATTCAGAAAACTAAGATCATGGCATGCAGTCCGATCACTTCCTGGCAAATAGATGGGGAAACAGTGGAAACAGGGGCTGACTTTACTTTTCTGGGCTCCAAAATCACTGCAGATGGTGATTGCAGCCATGAAATTAAAAGACGCTTACTCCTTGGAAGGAAAGTTATGACCAACCTAGACAGCATATTAAAAAGCAGAGACATTACTTTGCCAACAAAGGTCTGTCTAGTCAAGGCTATGGTTTTTCCAGTGGTCATGTATGGATGTGAGAGTTGGGCTATAAAGAAAGCTGAGTGCCAAAGAATTGATGCTTTAGAACTGTGGTGTTGGAGAAGACTTTTGAGAGCCCTTTGGACTGCAAGGAGATCCAACCAGTCCATCCTAAAGGAGATCAGTCCTGGGTGTTCATTGGAGGGACTGATGTTGAAGCTGAAACTCCAATACTTTGGCCACTTGATACAAAGAGCTAACTCATTTGAAAAGCCCCTGATGCTGGGAAAGATTGAGGGCAGGAGGAGAAGGGGACGACAGAGGATGAGATGGTTGGATGGCATCACCGACTCAATGGACATGGGTTTGGGTGGACTCCAGGAGTTGGTGATGGACAGGAGGGCCTGGTGTGCAGCGGTTCACGGGGTCGCAAAGAGTCGGACACGACTGAGTGACTGAACTGAACTGAAAGCCTTCCCAGCCCTTGAAGATCATCTAGACAAACCCTTTGTCTTTACAGAAGCTCAGAGAGGGGGAAGAACTTACCCAAGTGACACAGCAAGTCACTGGCAATGCCAAATCTAGAACCCAGGACTCCCTCCTCCCTGCCCACAGCTCTTCTCACCTCACCCTCGAAAATCTTACAGGGTTCTTGTATTTCTTGTTCTCTGGGGAGGGCTCTTTTAGGGGAAATGCTCTGTATTGGTGCCCTGACAACCTTGCACATATCCACCTAGACCATGCAGGCAAGGTTTGACTACAGCTGACCTAAGCCTTGGTGAAACTCCTGGGTCTTAGGGAGCATGGGGAGTCAGGCAGTCTTGTGAGGAGCTGCCACATGGTCGGTCCTGTCCTCAGGGGGACTGCTGTCATAGGGTATTTCTCGTCTGCCACCTTGGCTTCAACGAGGTGGGACTTCCATCCCCCTCTTTTTTTAATGTATTTATTTATTTGGCTGTACCGGGTCTTAGTTGTGGCACACAGGATCTTCATTTTGTTGCGGCATGTGGGATCTAGTTCCCTCTCTAGGGATCAAATCCAGGCCCTCTGCGTTGGGAGTGTGGAGTCTTAGCCACTAGACCACCAGGAACGTCCCATGACACCAACTTCTGCTTCATTTCCGCCACTGTTAATTTGATTTCTGTCACAGTTGAGTTCAGTCGCTCAGTCATGTCCAACTCTTTGCGACCCCATGGACTGCAGCACGCCAGGCTTCCCTTCCATCACCATCTCCCAGAGTTTGCTCAAACTCATGTCCATTGAGTCAGTGATGCCATCCAACTGACTCATCCTCTGTTGTCTACTTCTCCTGCTTTCAATCTTTCCCAGCATCAGGGTCTTTCTAATGAATCAGTTCTTCGGATCAGGTGGCCAAAGCATTGGAGCTTCAACTTTAGCATCAGTCCTTCCAGTGAACGTTCAGGACTGACTTCCTTTAGGTTTCTGTCACAGACCATATCCTAAATAATGCAAAAACTGCTAAAGCAGTCACAGGCTCCCTGAGACTCAAAGGAAAGGGGACATAGATGATAAGAGTGTTAAAAAATTTGGGGGTCATGTTTTTAACATGAGCTGGTCAACCCCTTCAGACCTTGGCTAAACCTGGCTACCTCAGGGAAGCATGTCACCACAGTCCATGTTAAGTTATACATCTCTGTCATATGTCCTTCAGAGCACAATGCCATGAACGACCCTCACAGTACTTAAGGATTTGAAACTTTACATTTATCTTTGTGGTTATTTGATTGGATCTCCCTCACGAGACCTTAAGTTTTATGAGGTCAGGCATTGGTCTGTCTCCTTTACTACCGTTACCCCAGCATCTAACACAGCGCAGGACATAGAGTAGGTGCTCAATAAGAATATGTAGGTAAGTTATGAATGGATGAATGAATGAATGAATCCGGACAAGAGAGGGACAGGTTTCCTGCCGCGCGGTGTAAATGCTGAAGACTCCTCAGCAGAAAAAAGCTCAGGATCGTGACCCACTGACTGGAATGCTAACAAGAACGCACATCTGCGCGAACCTCTCACAACCATCCTTTTCACAGGATGAGTAGGTGTGGACCTAGTAGTCCCCCGGGTTAGTAGCTGGCTGATACCCAATTCTGACTCTCGCTTCTCATACGCGGAAACTGGATTAGTGATGCCTGCCCCGCAGGTAGCACGGAGAAAGGAAGGGTGGGGGAAGCAGCCCGGCCTCTCTGAAAGGCAGCATCCGGAGGCCTCGGGGCTTCCGGGTTTCCGGTTTCCCCGCCCCCCCTCCCCCCACTGCCCCGCGGCCGGGGCTCCGGGGACGTGCGCGCCGTGTGGGGCGCGCACGCAGGGCGGGGCGTGCGGGGGCGCGCGCGTGCGCAGCCGTTGCGCGGAGGGTCGAGGCAGAGCCGCGGAATCGCCGCGAGATCCGGTCTCGGTCCCCGCCGCTAGTCGCGCAGCCCGTCGGCCAACCCAGCGTCCGCCGCTACCGCAGCCATGGGAGTGCAGGTGGAGACCATCTCTCCTGGAGACGGTGAGTAGGCTCGCGCCCGGTGGCGCCGGAGTGCCCCGGCCACCGCGCGCATCCGCTCACCCCGCGCGTCTGTCTGTCTCCTCAGGGCGCACCTTCCCGAAGCGTGGCCAGACCTGCGTGGTGCACTACACGGGTGAGTCGGAGGACCGGCTGGGCCGGGGTAGGGGGCGGCTCGGGAGTCAGGGGCAGCCGGCGCGGCCTGGGGGCAAAGGCCTGGGGCGTGGCGGCGGCGGGCCCGCGTGGCCCGAGGCCGAGGCCTGGATGGTGGCAGCGCCCCCGAGGGGGCAGCGTCGGGCCTGCCGAACCCTGGGCGGTCCGAGCCGGCGCACGGGCCGGACTTTATTCCGCACTTCGAAAGCGGTCTGTGTCAGAGATGCTGCAGTTCTGCCCACAGCGCGGATGGGGAAACTGAGGCTTGTGACGGCGAAGTCACTTGTCCAAGGTCACACGCTCAGGATGGGCAGAGCTCTGGCCAAGGACCATCAGAGAGGATTTATATCATTTCTGTGCCCGTTTACACCCTATCCCCGCTTCCGCCCCACCCTTCGATGGAGATAAGAAGGGCGAGGTAATTCCTAGTCCGTGGGAACTCGGCCCCGCGCTGCGGGTGGGGAGACATCCCACTTTCTAAGTCTTTGCTCTGGCCCAGCCTGGCCTTGGAGGAATTAGATCTGCAACGTCCTTTTCCTTTTCTTAGTTTTGAGCCACTTTATAAACCCGAGCCTCAGTGGTGGTGACGGCCCAGGTTGACATAACATGTAATTTAGTCCCCCAGTCCTTCTGAGAGTAGAAACTTATCCCCGTTCGAAAGATAAGGAAACTGAGGCCCAGTTAGGAAAACAAACAGTATTATAAGCCAAAAGAAGTATTAGACTCTGGGCCAGAATTCTAACATGACATATTCCTTGAGACCATTTTTTACTCCATGCCCTTACAAGGTTCTCCTGGGTTGTACTTGGTAGGGAGGGGAGGTGGGAGGCTGAGCAGGCGGAGACTTAGCTGTAGTGGGTGCTGGTGATTGGCGTAGCCACAGTTGTTAATATGACCAACCTTCCCTCCCCTTCCTCCTTCCCTTTTTCCTCCTTCCCACCCTTTCCTCTGTTCCTCCTCCTCCTCGCTCTATTTTTCTCCGCTCCCCCACCCCCTCAAGTAGGCTGTAGGCAGTTCTGAACCTGCCTCTCAGGGATAAGCTCTCCCCTTCTCTCTCAGATCATGGGGGGAGCCCTCTGTTGAGGGAAATGACTTTTCTTTGGGAAGGAAAAAAGGCAGCTAACATTCTCCCCTCCAGTGCCCTTTTATTTCTCTGGGTTTTTTTATTCCTCTGGCCCTTCTCCCTGTGTAGAAAGGGGGTGGGGGTGTAGGGAGTTAGGGTTAGAACTTTTAAAAAGGCTGCCATAAGAGGAAGTATTGAAGCCTGTCTTGGTAGGGAACTATCTCATACCTACAAAACTGTAAAGTGGTTTTGATGTTTTAAATGGTTGTCTTTGTAGACCATGGTCAGCACCTGAGCCCGGGAGGTCTAGTGGAAGAGAACGTGTCAGTTTGGTTGATTTTGATCTGTGAAATGAGAAGAGTAACCATTGCCTTTTACAGTGCTAGGTGAGTGGGCAGTTCATTCAGTTCCCACAGCCAACTGGGGCAGGGACTCAGAGAGGTGATGAGTTGACTTCTCCCCTCTCTCCTTCCAGGTTCTAAGTAGTCAGGTTAGGTTAATTGGCGACACCTGTCCCATTCCCACGTCTGTGCCCCTTGTCCTTGGCTCACCCATCTGCTGGTGCTGATGGCAGGACCGGACACCGGCATGTTGGCAGAACGAAGTTTCACTGCCTCTTAGTGAAGTGTCCCCACACTGCATGTCTGGAGCCTTTTCCTAAGAGAACAGATGGCTGTGGGACCCAGAACACTCTCAGGGCTCCCAGTGCCTCTTCTCCAAATCTGTGCTTTCCTCTAGGGTGGCACCCACCCACACGTTCCCGGAACAGCAGTGTGACCCTGGCATGCATTGGGACAAAAGCTTTCTTTTTTATTTCAGTTTTGATAAGCCCTACAAAGACACCCTGGTGAGAAGTCAGCTCTGCCTCATGCTCACAGAATAGGCTGTTCTTGGGCAGGCTTCTTTGTTCCTGTGGGTCTTTGCCATCAGCCTCCCAGGAAGAACCTGTTTGAGACCTGTGGGGGCGTGAGAGGAATGGGTAAGCGCTTTGAGATTTCATCTGTAGCAGTTAGTGACTTAAAAGCCAGTTGGAACAGAATCCATCGTGAGGGAACATGGTGAAGAGTATCATAAAAATCTGAGGGTCCTCAAATGCAAGAGGACCTCCCCTCACTGAACCTTGAGCAGAAGAAATTCTCATGATCCTCCTAGTTTTCACCTTGTTTTTCTCTTACCCATCTATCTCAGTAGTCTCCTGTTAGGGCTGTTTCTCTGCTTCTCCCAAGTCATGGATGGTGGACATCCCTGGGTGCCCACCTCCCACCCCTCCCTCCTGTTTCTCTGTCTTCTTTTGCATAGCTAGCTCAGACTGCTTGGCTGTGTGGCTCCAGTGGTTACAGTTCCTACGATGGAGAATCTGATTGACCCAGGTTCAGGTCAGGTGAATTCTCTAGATCCAGTCTGTTCTGACCAGGTAACTGCTGCTGCTGATTTAGGAGCAGCTTCAAAGGATCAGCGTTGGAAATAAGGAAGCCAAAATCTTCTCTTGGTCACCAGGGCTATGATCAGCACAGGCTGACTTTGACCACATGCATGTTCTAAATGCTCCTGGTGGCTGCCAGTTGTATCCTGGATGCCGCTCTCCAGGCTCCCTCTCGTAACTTCCACAGCCTCTAGCAGAGCATGGCATGAGCACGGCCTCAAAGAAAGGCCTGTGCCACATCTATGTCATGTCAGAAGGGAAGGTGAAAACTGTACTATCTTCAGCCAAACCTCTCCTAGTAGCATGACAGTCAGGCATTGAGATGAGAGGGAGGAAGTGGAAAGATAACCTGCCAAATACATGCCTTGAGGATCAAGTGGATCCTCATGGCTCCCTCCTTGCCTCCAGTAGCTTCATCAACTTTATTACTGAGCTTGTCCTGACACACTGCTAGGCTTATGTCCCTTTTACTCACATCAGCAGGCCACGCGCCTGCCATTGTCAGAGCAACCTCAAGTGGATTGAGGAGTTCTTTTTTTATAGTTGACATCTTGTCCTTGGGATCAGGTTTAACTTGTCTGTAGCCTGACTTCTGACTGAGAAAAACCAAGGATGCCTCGGCTTCATCACCTCAGGAGGTCCACTTGAAGGGACGCTGCAGCTCCCCTCCCCACCTATTGCCTTTCTTCAGCCTCTGTCTCCCCTCTCCTCCCTGCTTTATTCCACCCTGTCCCCTGCTGGGTGTTTCTTGGCTGGTGATCCGATGTCTGGAGGAAGGCTCACCCCCAGCAGAGACTGCTCAGATGGCTTTCCCCGATGTGTGCTGGCTTCAGGCAGACAGACTATAACTGTTTGGGCAGGGCCACAGCAGGGCCCTTTTCCTTCCTACAGCAGATAATTATTGAGCAACAGAAACCAGCCAGGCACTGGGGACACAGCCAATGAACTAAACAAAGGCCTGGTCTGGTGGGGAAGAGACTAGCAGCGTGAAGGTGGAGGTGTGACACATCAGGTGGCGAGAAGCTCTGTGGGGAGGGGCTAAAGCCGAGTGAAGGCCGGGAAGGGGGTTTACAGCTTTTAGTGAGGGTGGCTGGAAAAAACTCTTACAAAATGACACTTAATATTTGCCCAAAGGAAGTTGGGAGTGACTGATGTGGCTGTCAAGGAGAAGAGTCTTCCAGGCAGAGAGAGGAGCTAGTGCAGAGGCCCTGAGGCTGGAGCATGACTTGGTATATTAGCTGGAGTGGATTGTGTGAGGGAGAATGTAGTAGATGAGGTAATGGTGGGGCTTGCTTTCTGAGATGGGAGTCATGAGCTGATCTGGATCTTATCAGAATCGCCTGCCTTCTAGCTACTGTATGGACACTGGAGTGTTGGTGGCAGTGCGGAAACAGGGCCCTTGTTGCATCCTGGGTGTTTAGAGCGTGCCAAGGGCAAGTGTGCAGAAGTGGTACCACGTGGACAGTGGTCCCCAAAGAAGATGTGAGTCCTTTGGGGTTCAGATTTTAGCTTGGGGACATGATCCACTTTTCTCAGCTTCCATATGCCATCTATTAAAAATGGGAGAAACAATGCCTGCTGTGGGGAGTTGCCGGGGGCAGGTGCATTCTGGGAGGGGCAGCAGCAACAGTAATGCTGTTATTGCACATTGTGTCATGAAAGGTCCCTGTGTCCCAGTGCTAGGTGTTTTATCATCCCTCAGTTTAGGGTTGTCAGAGTTGCATAGGCCGAAACCCTTCCATTTCACATATGAGGAAATAGGTAATTATAAAAAAAAGATGAATCTGAGTGAAGGTTCATCTTAAAACAGGCCTCCACATTGCCTGCAGAATATTTTGGCTAAGAAAACTGCAGCTGTTCTCTTTAATTTGGAGACCAAAGGAGTTTTAGTATTTGTTGTTGATTCTTGGTGGGTGTAAGACGGTCAGGGTTGGGCTACATCAGCTCACTAGTGTGTGCAAGTTAAAGTGTCAGTCCTTTTACCTTCAAGTTTCCTTAACATAATTGGATTTTAATATTTTGCAAATGGGCCCTGCTATGGAAATGTTATTTTCCTTCCTCTGGGACTGTGACTACCAAAATGTGGAATCACATGGATGCCAGCTTTCTTCATCCACAGGTGAGAGCAGAAGGCTCACTTGTCTTAAATGAACTAAAGACCTCATAGAATTCTTGCGTCTGTGTGCAACTCTTATTTGTAAAGTTGTCAAAATTAGAGAAAAATCAAAATAGAACAGTAATTACCCACGTGCCCACCACCTAGATTCCATGATGGTTGACATTTTGTCATGTTTGCCAATTCTGTCTACTTACAGGTATATGTAGATAGATATAATCTATGTTGGGTTTTTAGCTGAGCCATTAGAAGCTGCTGACATGATACTTTTTCTCTAAGTACTTGAGCATGCTATAAGAGTGAGAGTATTCTCCCTATTCTAATTCTGGTCACATCTGAGAAAATTTTAAATGATTCAGCAGTATCTAAAGCCAAATGCAT